GCCCTGGGGCCGTCGGCCGAGTTCTTCGAGCCGCGTCCAGCGGGTCTTATCTTCGCCCCCTCAGGCCGACCCGCGGCTCGAAAGGCGTGCAGTTGGCTCGGGCTGCTCAGCCAGGCTGGCGCCCCGCCACGCCGTCGGCCGCGTCGAGCCGCCTGGCCGCCCGCCTCGGCGCGGGCGCGTCGTGGGGCGCGCCGCCTGCACCGCCGCCGCCGCCGTCGGCCTCGTCGGGCCGCCTGGCCTCCCGCCTCGCTCGCCCTCCAGCCGCGCCGCCCAGTGGTGGAGCCGCGCTCGGCGCCCCGCGCGCGGCGGCTCGCCGCCCGCGCGCGGCACGCCAAGCTGTCGCGGCGGCCCGCTGCAGGGGCCCGAGCAGAAGCCTGTCCCGCGTGGGGCACCGCTGCCGCGCGGCGGCTGCGCCCTGGGCCGCGCGCGCCAGCAAGAGCGTGCCGACCTCCGAGGCGCAGCCCCTGCCGAGCTTCCACAGGTCCCAGAGCGGGGCGGAAGAGACGGCCAGGGCTGCGTCCCTCGTCGCGCCATTGTCGATGAGCCCTGCCGCCGAGGTCCCCTCTAGCACCTTGCTGACCACCGCGTTGAGGCACGAGATGCCGATGACGATGATCGCGACGAGCGGCTCCATGAGGCGCGGCACCGAGGCTGCCACGAGGCGAGGCGCCGAGGCTTTCGCGGCGAGCGGCTCCGCGAGGCGCGGCGCCGAGACCTCCTCGGCGAGCGGCTCCGCGAGGCGCGGCGCCAAGGCCTCCAAGAGGCGCGGCACCGAGGCCTCCGCGACGAGCTGCTCCACGAGGCGCGGCGCCGAGGCCTCCGCGGCGAGCGGCTCCGCGAGGCGCGGCGTCGAGGCCCCAACGACGAGCGGCTCCATGAGGCATGGCCCGAGGCCTCCGCGACCTCCGCGATGAGCGGCTCCACGAGGTGCGTTGCTGGCACCGACGCCTTCACGACGAGTGGCTCCACGATGCGCGGCGCCGAGGCCTCCGTGACCTCCTCGATGAGCGGCTCCACGAGGCGCGGCGCTGGCGCCGCCGCCCCCACGACGAGCGGCACCGCGAGGCGCGGCACTGAGGCCTCCGCGACCTCCACGATCGGCTTCACGAGGCGCGGCGCCGAGGCCGAGTCCTGCTCCTCCTCGCCCACTCCCGCGAAGGGCTCGCTGGGCGAGGGCAGGGCGTGCGGCCTGGCCGCGCTGCGGAGCGGCGTGCC